TTTATACTTTATATTAATGATTTAATATGTATGTCACTACTTACGTGTTTTCTGAACGTTACCGCATAATGATGAATCTTGGGGAAGGAGGAAGCTTTGTAATGGTCATGATAAGAGCTAACCTGAAAACCTTAAGGATTCATATTACGCTCAAACGTCCACAAAACCTTCCGAGTCCCCAGTGGAAACGTCCCCCGTTTTCTCTGTTTCCCCCGCCTTTGTCTATGGGAGCAGACGCTGTATGCTGGGACCTGTTGCCATCCATTCCTTTGTAATCAATTTAATTTTGCTTTCGATAGCTGAGTCAGAGCATTGTTAGTGAAGATAATAGTAGAGAATGAAAATGAGTTCATAGTCTCAATTTCAACGTCAGAGGGTACCGTAAATTAATTCATTGGAATAGGAGTAGCTGGACTCCCTGGTCTGGTTTGAGTGAGGGCACGCGGGCATTTTAACCGTTAGTAAGTGCCCGTCCCTTCATCCATACAGGTATGCCATTCCACGCTGTGTTGTAATTTGCCCTTCTTTAAGTGATTTGACTCGATTAATAGTTGATTGTGCAAGTGTTACAGTAACGTAGTTGATATGCTCTGAGTAAAGTCATATTTACGTCTTTAACGTCCCCTGAAACGTGATGTTGTTGTCACCGGTTAGTAAGTGCCCGTCCCTTCATCCATACAGGTCCCTAACGCAGCCTAGGCCGTGTCTGTAGGGTGGATGTTGTATCCACTATGTCTGGGGACATGTCCGAGGTCCAGTAGGATCAGTTACCTTCGTGAGACCCGGCCGTCAGACACTTCAGACCACCTATAGCCCCCATAGCTGGCTCGTCTGGCCCTAACGCTCGGTCCACGAGGTGACCCTGGACCACCAAGCCACACCCCACTACCAGCCCCCATCATTGGTGGATGAGTGTCTAACTCAGTAGGGCTATATTTGTGTGGTGGAATTAACCCACTGGGATCTGCAGAGTTCGTCGGATAGTACTCCATGGTGGCTGGACCCCATGGCTGTTGCTTGAGTATCACTCCTGACGACTGAGTGTTGTAGTGGCAGTTGCCCTAGTATGTATGGTGCTAAGTGACTATCCTAGTTGTGCTATTGAGTATGTCCACCCAGTAGGGTTGGAAGTGTATTGAATATGTCCACCCAGTAATGGTGTGAGTATGTTGTGCCTGAGGGCCTAGTACGAGATTTCGTCTGTTAGTACAAACCAATTCTTTCTTCTAATTTCATATTCATGTTTAAATAAACTTTGTATTTGTGTAATTGTGTATATTATTTACCTACAGTATTTACCGTTATTTCTTCCCTATTGCTTGATACTATCATTACACCTACCCACGAGCCTCCTATCGTCACGCTACCAATGGTGATATATGAGTAAAAGGAATTGTTACTGGCACACAGGCCCTCATGAAGGGTGGCAGTAGCAGCCCTCATAACATGGGCTCAACACCGACTGTCCCCCTGCTGAGACACATTTAGAGGCACAAGTATATATATGTATATATATATATATATATATATATATATATATATATATATATATATATATATATATATATATACAGGTTGTACCTCTCTAGTCCGGCATTCTGTGGTCCGGAACGATTTTAGTTTGTCCAATAGGTAGATAGGCAGTTTTTTTTTAAACTTATCTGAATTATTATTATTATTACAGAAGTATTAAATTTTTGCTCCTCAGGCCCCAATGAGGGTCAGTGACCTATGCCCGGGTGGGCTAATCCCCTTAAAAAAACAAAAAACAAAGCCGCGGGAAATTAAGGCTTGTTTACATCCGGCAGTTTGGCTGCTCTCTCTCTCTCTCTCTCTCTCTGCTTGTCTACACAGAGTACAACATTTAACCCTTCAATATATATGAGCAGTAAATAAGTGTTGCTTTCATATTCTTATGTAGAGTAATGACGATATGTTTTCACATGTGCGCACTTACATACGCGCAGTCTCACTTTTTTTTTACCATTAATGGTTAGCTACTTATATTGCTCCATTTATTAACATTAAATAACATTACAGGTACTTCAAACAACCATATTAATTTCTTTACATTAATTTTACTACAACTACAATCAGGGTCTTGTTTTCTTCAGTTTTATATGTAGAACCAATCAGTCACTGGTTTTGTAAGCTTTAACAAAAACAATGCCGGCAGCCGTCTCGTCTCCTCTAATATTCCACGTATTATTAATAAATTGTATTGTTAATTTTTCACACACAAACATTAATTCAATAAAAACAAATTCAGAAACATTAATTAAAATATATATATGAACAGTAAATAAGTGTTGCTTTCATATTCTTGTGTAAAGTAATGACGATATGTTTCCACGTGTGCGCACTTACATACGCGATCTTTTTTTTCTTTACCATTATCGTTAGCTACTTCTATTGTTCCATTTATTAACATTAAATAACATTACTTAAAACAACCATATTAATTTTACTACAGCTACAACCAGGGTCTTATTTTCTTCAGTTTTATATGTAGAACCAGTCAGTCACTGGTTTTGTAATCAACGAAAACAATGCTGTCTCATTTCCTCGTGTTTTAATATTCTATGCATTATTAATGAATTGTATTGCTCATTTTGCACACACAAACAATAATTCAATCAAAAAGACTCGGTAATAAACAATAATGAATCTTTTGTACATAAGAGAAATGACGCTGTTTACACGATTGTGCACGTCGTCTGAACGTTGGCGGGCCGTTCAAACCCGTCGAAATTCGAGTTTCCGCCGTCAAAATTTTTAAATGTGTTGTTTTTTTTGTGTTCAAATAGAAAACGTTGAATTAAAAACTCGCGAAATTTGAGAAGCTACTGTACGACATTTAACCTTATTACTGTGTTCATATACTGTACATCAGGGGTGGCCAACCTTTTGTGTTAAGTGATCTATTTTTTCCACAGTTACCCTGACGCGATCTACCAGCCTAATATTCACCCATTGCCATAAAATACGGAGAGAGAGAGTAAACAAATAATATTTTTCAATAATTGTTTTAATATATTGTTAACATGACAAAATGATAAACTTGCTTTACTAATGAGATGGTTAGCACCGCATGTTGTCTGACTGTAGGCGGTGACTGGTAGCCTTATCCAGGTGTTGAGCTCCGCATGTTGTCTGACTGTAGGCGGTGACTGGTAGCCTCATCCAGGTGTTGAGCACCACATGTTGTCTGACTGTAGGCGGTGACTGGTAGCCTCATCCAGGTGTTGAGCACCGCATGTTGTCTGACTGTAGGCGGTGACTGCTAGCCTCATCCAGGTGTTGAGCTCCGCATGTTGTCTGACTTAGGCGGTGACTGTTAGCCTCATCCAGGTGTTGAGCTCCGCATGTTGTCTGACTGTAGGTGGTGACTGCTAGCCTCATCCAGGTGTTGAGCTCCGCATGTTGTCTGACTGTAGGCTGGTAGCCTCATCCAGGTGTTAGGCACATGTTGTCTGACTGTAGGTGGTGACTGCTAGCCTCATCCAGGTGTTGAGCTCCGCATGTTGTCTGACTGTAGGCGGTGACTGGTAGCCTCATCCAGGTGTTGAGCACCGCATGTTGTCTGACTGTAGGTGGTGACTGCTAGCCTCATCCAGGTGTTGAGCACCGCATGTTGTCTGACTGTAGGTGGTGACTGCTAGCCTCATCCAGGTGTTCAGCACCGCATGTTGTCTGACTGTAGCAGGCGGTGACTGCTAACCTCATCAGGTGAGCTCCGCATGTTGTCTGGCTTAGAGGCGGTGACTGTTAGCCTCATCAGGTGTTGAGCACACTTGTTTGTCTGACTGTAGGCGGTGACTGGTAGCCTCATCCAGGTGTTGAGCACCGCATGTTGTCTGACTGTAGGCGGTGACTGGTAGCCTCATCCAGGTGTTCAGCACCGCATGTTGTCTGACTGTAGGTGGTGACTGCTAGCCTCATCCAGGTGTTCAGCACCGCATGTTGTCTGACTGTAGGTGGTGACTGGTAGCCTCATCCAGGTGTTGAGCACCGCATGTTGTCTGACTGTAGGTGGTGACTGCTAGCCTCATCCAGGTGTTCAGCACCGCATGTTGTCTGACTGTAGGCGGTGACTGCTAGCCTCATCCAGGTGTTCAGCACCGCATGTTGTCTGACTGTAGGCGGTGACTGGTAGCCTCATCCAGGTGTTGAGCACCGCATGTTGTCTGACTGTAGGCGGTGACTGGTAGCCTCATCCAGGTGTTGAGCACCGCATGTTGTCTGACTGTAGGCGGTGACTGGTAGCCTCATCAGGTGTTGAGCACCGCATGTTGTCCTGACTGTAGGCGGTGACTGGTAGCCTCATCAGGTGTTGGAAGCACGCATGTTGTCTGACTGTAGGCGGTGACTGGTAGCCTCATCCAGGTGCGCTGAGCACCGCATGTTGTCTGACTGTAGGTGGTGACTGGTAGCCTCATCCAGGTGTTGAGCTCCGCATGTTGTCTGAATGTGGTGGTGACTGTTAGCCTCATCCAGGTGTTGAGCACCGCATGTTGGGTTCGACTGTAGGCGGTGACTGCTAGCCTCATCCAGGTGCGTTGAGCACCGTGATGTTGTCTGACTGTAGGCGGTGACTGTTAGCCCCATCCAGGTGTTGAGCCCGCATGTTGTCTGACTGTAGGCGCAGACTGGTAGCCTCATCCAGGTGTTGAGTCTGCATGTTGTCTGACTGTAGGCGGTGACTGCTAGCCCTATCCAGGTGTTCAGCAACTGCGATGTTGTCTCGACTGTAGGCGTGACTGCTAGCCTCATCCAGGTGTTCAGCACCGCATGTTGTCTGACTGTAGGTGGTGACTGCTAGCCTCATCCAGGTGTTCAGCACCGCATGTTGTCTGACTGTAGGTGGTGACTGCTAGCCTCATCCAGGTGTTCAGCACCGCATGTTGTCTGACTTAGGCGGTGACTGCTAGCCTCATCCAGGTGTTGAGCTCCGCATGTTGTCTGACTGTAGGCGGTGACTGCTAGCCTCATCCAGGTGTTCAGCACCGCATGTTGTCTGACTGTAGGTGGTGACTGCTAGCCTCATCCAGGTGTTCATCTGATATTGTTGATCGGTATTTGATGTGTTTCAGGTGTGAAAATGTTGACCCACAAAGGAAGGTTGATCCAAAAAATGCTGTGAGGTACATGGCACATTTTCTGACAATGGGATATTTTTCTTCACTGAGAAAGAAACTTCCTCCTGTTGCCCTGGATTTGATCTGAGTATCATTTTTAAGCTTCAGAAGCTCATTTTCGACTTCAGATTTGTCCATGTTAAATACTGATGCCATTCTAGATGCAATATCTTCAACATTTGTGATTTTACCAAAGGAAAACACATATATGTTGCAACAGGTTCTATTGTTGCTATATCTTGAAACCGTCTGTCAAAATATGAGGCAAGGTTTTGTACCTGTTCAATATATCGAGCACTGACAAACTGGTCACAGTCTTTTCCTTGGTTTTCTAGTTCAGACATCATAGTTCTGAAGTTTCATAGTTGATGTTGATGCAGCTGCGAAGACACTAGTTTTAGTTTCTGCTTGAAAGCAGCCACAGGACTAATCATGTCAACTAGTTTTATCTTTCCCTTGCAGATCTAAGTTTAGTTTATTCAACATAGCAGTCATGTCAACTTAAAAAGCTAAATCTAACAGCCACACTTCGTTTTGATCAAAAGGCCAATCTTTTGAGGCCAAAAAAGAAGTTAGGAAACCTATCATCACTCCTGCACAGGGCAATGAACCCACTGATTCGGCCAGCCAATGCATGTGCCCCATCAGTATTTTTAGATATGAGCTTACTGGCAACTGTGTACTATTAACAAAATCACTGAAAGTCTGAAATAAGTCTTCATCCCGAGTTTTTCCTTTTAATGGTAGAATTTTTGGCAGTTCCTCTTTGGTACTCGTGTCTTTAAACACCAGTCTAATGAAAATACATGATTGTGATGTATCGACCACATCAGTAGACTCATCAAATTGTAATGAAAAGAACACACACTCCTGTATGTCTTTATTCAGTTGTTCACCCAAATCCTCAGCCATGAATTCACAGCGCCTCATGACAGTGTTTCTTGATGACTGAACATCCTTAATAGAAAACAGTATTTCAGACTTATTTTTGAGGTTTTCAAACAACGAATCTGCTGCTTCTAAAAGGCCTCTGAATATTTCTCCATCTTGAAATGTGTTTTTTTTATGCTCAGTAAGTACTGGACTCACCCTGAATGACGCAATGGTTGCTACCCTTCATTTTGAGCTCGCTTCAGTAAAAGAGTTTGTTGTGCAGTAAGCTGTGATTTCAGTTCCTGAACTTTCCTCTTTCATAGCTCACTTTTGGGTGGGAAATCATTATCATACTTCTTGTGAAAACTTTTGAAATGTCTTTCAGGATTTTCTTTCTTAGCTAGAGCTGGAGACGCATGGCAGATCAAGCAGAGACACTTCAAATTATTCAAGGTAAAAAATGGTCTTCTTCCCATTCATTGTGAAAATGGTAAATTTGGGTATTTTTAGTACTTGATCCAGAACTCATTTTTGGTTCAGTTGATGGCCAATAACCTATATTTGGAAAAGAAAAAGTCGTACGTGAATACGAGAATTACTTTTTTCCCACGACGTTTCCTACACGAATATGAGAATTACTAACGTAACAGCGTAACGTTCTAACTTTTTTTTATAAGCAATTGTTGCCAGCTAGTGTGGACACTTCTGTCTCCTCTAGGGTTGCGGCGAGAACTGTCGCTAAGCTAAAAAGTCAGTAATTCTTGTAATCACCCAAGACTTTTCCATAACAAGAGGCAGCACCTCACACTTCCAAGTATTGCAGATGACTGAAAATCACTGCATTGTTGGTGACAAGCGTGTAGGCTCGTTGGGCAAGGTTGCCCAATATGATTCTCTCTCTCTTCACTTTTGACAAGACTCCTCAATATCGAGTCGACTTTTTCATGACCAAACTCATTAATACAAGGTTTAACGTGTATTTGTAAACTTATAAAAGCAAATACCTGCCTAGTTTTAGCCTACAACTGATGACGACTTGCTGATCAGTTTCTTCGATCAGGGGACTTTGTTATACTCGATCAGGGGACTTTGTTATACTCGATCAGGGGACTTTGTTATAATCGATCAGGGGACTTTGTTATACTCGATCAAGGGACTTTGTTATACTCGATCAGGGGACTTTGTTATACTCGATCAGGGGACTTTGTTATACTCGATCGGATGTACCTCTAATTTGTCTCACACTACTCCTTACTCTCCCTCATTCTCACTTTCTTTCTCATTCCTCAGTATAATTCTCTCGTTCTAGTGTGGTTACAAATCTTCTTAATTACGAAATTATCCAGTTTGTACATACCATTACTCAAACTCATGTTGATGGATTCGGTAGGTTTAACGAGACTGGATTCTATAAAGTTCCTACTGTCAAATGAATTACATGGTAATATTGAGGAGGCATTATCCCAGTCAACGCAATTCTTATTATCCCTCAGATGAACAAACAGAACATTGGATTCCTGGCCTGTCCTAACACTATATTTGTGTTGTTTAAGTCTAGTTACAAGATCTTTACCTGTCTGGCCTAAGTAAAACATATTACATTCCTTGCAAGGAACCTTATAAATGCAACCACCTGTATTGTTGGGGGAGTTCTTGATTAACATTTGTTTAACAGTGCATGAGTATTTAAATGCCACATTGACGTTTCAGGTTTTTAGTTGTAAAGGAATTTGAGAGAAATTTTTGTGAAATGGTAATACTAAGAGATTCTTATGGTCATGGGTGGGCTTTGGATCGGTTCTGTAGAAAGATTTCTTAGTAAATGTTAAGGCATTTGTCTATGAAAGATCTAGGGTACTTAAGGTTCATGGTCTTATTGCAACTATATCTTGCGCTAGTCAGGCCGCACCTCGATTATGCGGTTCAGTTCTGGTGCCCTTATTATAGAATGGATATCAATGCACTAGAGTCGGTGCAGCGAAGAATGACGAAAATGATTCCGGGACTTAGAAACCTTCCATATCAGGATAGGTTAAAGAAACTTAACTTGCATTCCCTAGAAAGACGAAGAGTGCGGGGAGATATGATAGAAGTATTTAAGTGGGTGAAAGGAATCAATAAAGGGGATATAGATAAAGTTCTTATAATATCCGAGCAGGATAAGACTCGGAGCAACTGATTTAAGTTGGATAAGGAAGGAACCAGTTCACAAATAGGGTGGTGGACGAGTGGAACAAGCTTAGCAACTTTGTTATTAGTGCTGGAACCTGGAGAGTTTTAAAAGGAGGCTAGATAGACTCATGGATGATAGAGAGTGGTAGTAACTCTCGACATGAGCTGCCATGCACAGGCCAACCGGCCAATTGCAGACTCCTTATGCTCTTGGCGGTGGGTTATGTGTATACCTTCGTCAGCCAGTGCCCTACCAGCTGAGTATTTCACCCCTGCTCTGTGTGTGTGAAGACGTGTATAGAGTGTATGAGTTACTCTACCCTTACACAGTGGCGTAGCTAGAGTGTGTGCCGCCCGGGGCAGCCCTTGAGTTTGCCGCCCCCCCCCTCCCCGTGCCCCCACAAAAAATACATATTGCACAGTGACTCGCTCGTCTTGTCACGATGGAGACTTGTGCAGAACTGAAGTGAATTGCTTGTAACTGGTGGATTGGTCGGCTGTACATGAACTGATATGACCCGAGACTGCATGGTTTTACAGCTACTGGAGACGTTAATCCTTCCCTTTGTATCGGCGGCAAGTTAATCCTCGTCGTATCTGACCTAACACCTGACCCACACCACATGAGCTCACTGGCGTACTTGTTTGAAGTTGTTTCCTTAATCCTCAACAGGTTACAGGTTGTGTGTGTGGCGGGGGGCCTCATAGCAAGGGTGTAGCTCATGACGTGGCCGTGATGATGTGGGTCAGGTGTTAGGTCAGATACGACAAGGATAACTTGCCGCCGATACAAAGGGATGGATTAACGTCTCCAGTAGCTGCAGATATGGGTGATGAGCAGACCCAAAAGAGCCGCCCCCCCTAGCTACGCTAGTGCCCTTACACACAATATAAACGTCACAAAAACTGTCTCGTTACCAACACTGAATTCCTGACATAAACCCTTAACATTATTACTAGTTAACCGTAATAAGAAAACACGCATTTAACATCAGTACAAGATGACGTCATGTAAAATCCGCTAATTAGAACGCAGGATGGCAGACGTGCTTCCCTTTTTATGCAGCTATTGTAATTCTTGACGCCGGTGATCTATAGCCATAACGCCGTCACCGTTTAATTAATTAGCATCGAATACACTTGTAAAGTTGTGATAATTACAGAAAAAATGTGTCCTCAAAAAACAAGTCAAAATAAAACTGCGTATCAACAGTCATTAGTGTTTTGTGTGTGTGTGTTATCTTATACGCAGTGACGGGTTAAGACTTTGGTAGGCCTTAGGCACCTCCAAGATATGGGGCCCCATTTGACAGCATATTCACTAATAACACAAGCTAGTACCTAATTATAAAATGTGATGTCGAAAGAATAAGATTTAGTGATGTTTGCCATGAATCGAGTCAAAGAAAATGGGTTAGATCAGCTGTTGTTATACAGTACAGAAATATATTTGTTTACAAGAAGCACAGGTAGCTGGTGGACACTAATAGGATTAAGTAATAAATAAATGGGAAAAAAATACCTCAGTATCAATTTAATAATAACCTGTAGAAAAAGGGGAAGAAAAGTTCTCGTTTTATTTTTCGTAGGCCCTAGGAGGAGGTTGTGTGTGGACTGCCTCTCTTGACTTACGACCATTTTCGTGTTTAATTTATTGATTTGATTTTATTTATTTGTTTTCGTCTTCGTTAAAATCTGCTACAAAGTAATTTAAATCTCGCATAGTAACGGTAATATATTAGTGATAAGATAATTATTGAATTGTTGTTTAAGTACCGTAAAGAGTCGTTCCAGTGCTTGTTTGATAGTTCGCTCGTTAGTTTATTTATTACTTCCAATAAAGGTCACCAAGGTTTTATTTTAGAGTAATAAGATAAATTAGAATATAATTGATATACGTCATTATTCTAACATCAACAACGATTTATACGATAGAGAATTAAAAATAAATAAATTTTGGCGATATGGCAACATGTATGGGGCAGCTGACAGCCACTAAATGACTCGCTGTTCGTCTCCGGGTCGTGATCAAGATGGACGTGTGGATTATTCCTTCATTTTTGACAATTTCCTTACAAACTTGATACTCTTTCGGTGTTATATACTGATATAAGTGGAAGTGTTCGGTGTTGTGAAGTGCTGGAGGACTCGTAACGTGAAGTGTTGTAGTGTTCGGTGTTGTGAAGTGCTGGACGTGAAGTGTTGTGTTAATATATGGGAAATATTGGTTAAAAGGTGAAGTGACTCGATGAGATTGGAGGATATTTGTCACTGATGCCAAGTGAAGTGTTATGAGTTGTAAACTCTTGGAACAATCTACCAGAGAGTGTTGTGACGGCACCGAGCGTGAGCTGTTTCAAGAGAAGACTTGACCAACACTGGAGCAGGTTCAGGTACATTCAGGAGCCGGTGCATGCCCAGTATTTGTCAACAGTGCGTGACAGAGACGTGACCGATCGCCCGGGCGGCTAGCAAGCCGATCAGTGGTGAAGAGGATAAAAGTAAAGTAAAAGTGAAGTGCAGGAGGGCCCGTAACGTGAAGTGTTGTGTTAATATATGGGAAATATTGGTTAAAAGGTGAAGTGACCTGACGTGACTCAATGAGATTAGAGGATATTTGTCACTGATGCCAAGTGAAGTGTTATGGGCCCATAACTTGATTGGATTAATGGAAATAAATAGTGTTAACGGAGGTAGTGAACCTAATTGAAGGTTAAAGAAAAATTTACGCGTGGAATCCCCTTTTTCTAGTGAACATTAAAAGTACGACGAGGTACCGTAGTGAATTTTCCAAGTGTCCTTTTTGAAGTGAAGTCAATTAAAACATGTGGGAACTACAAGAGTATTCACCACAGTTAACTACACCAGGCCTTGATTCACCCTCCGCCAGGACCTGATTCACCCTCCGCCAGGAATTTAAATTAAGGTATGATTAAAACTTTGGTTTGGTTAGGTATGGTTAGTGTTATGCCATCTATTACAATTGGCACACAGAGCTATTAAAATTGTTATGGGTTAATACGTCTGACTCGCCGCTACCCCTAGCAACAACATCAAATACAATATCATATCAGTACACTTTACATTGAGAAACATTAAGAAAATCTAACATTAAACCTTACCAACACACACAGTAGGTTTAGGTCTGGTTTTGTTGGGGTTTTTACTCATGTGTATAACGAAAAACCGTCCCTGCCTATTAGGTTTATGGACATGAAGGTTATGAATGGATAATAATCACAATTTTACATTAGACAAATTTATGATTATCTAAGGACGATGAAACGGGCTGTGATTATGGAATTTTTCGTTGAATTACTATCCTTCCGGCAAACATTAAGTCTGTGAGATTTTATTGACCGCTACACCTATGGTTAACGAGTGAGTTTCTTTATAGAAAGTTGATATATTTAACTGAAGGGATGAAGGTCGCTACGGTGGCTGAGGTGTAACCACGGCTCGTTCAACAGAGCGAGTTTCTTCCTCATCCAACTAATTATTAGTTTGGTCTTAAAAACCGGTGTGTGTTGTTAAAGTAATGATTATAACCAGGGCCGGTGCTAGGAATTGCGGGGCCCAATTAGAAAATTGATAGTGGGGCCCTCTACTCTACAAAGTCGAAGATTGATGTTTTATATTTCGTGTAGTATGCCCGCCTTAGCCAAAAAGCATTAATTACTTGATATACTAAAAGTTTAAAAACAGTATAAAAGTTTTGATTTTTTATTACAAGTTAAGACAATTACAGACAAACTGTTTATGCACGGACCTTTTAGAAACACACTTTTCTGGCTTTTTTATTTGCAAAATCTTTCAAAATCATTTTAAAGTCAAGGGTTTTGGTAATGTCACTTTCTATAGATAGCATCGCCAAATTGTTTAGTCTTTCTTGTGAAATTGTTGACCGTAAGTATGTTTTAATCAGTTTTAGTTTAGAAAAACTTCTCTCACCCGATGCGACTGTTACGGGCATTGTTAAGTAAATTCTCAAAGCAACAAAAACATTAGGAAATGCAGTGAATCGATTGTTTACTACCAGGTATTCAAACAGGGCTTGGGGCTTGGCGACACTGGTGGGCAGAAAAGTTTTCAGAGCTTCAAGTTCTTCAGCCAACAGATAACCATCTACATCTTTACTTGTTACAGTACCTACCTCTACATCAGTGTTCTGTTTTAGTTTGGTGTCAATTAAAGCTGCTTCAAGGTCTACTGTGTGTTTCCTTATTTCTGCCTTTTGTAAGCCCTGAAAGTTATTTAAAAATCCAAATAATTTTATATGGCTTTTAAGCTGCATAAATCTAGATTCTAGAGATTGAATAGCTTTGTCTAGCACTAAGGTAAAGCACTGAACTCTATATGCTTCTTTTGGATCATCAAAAGCTTGATCTTTTGCCTCATATGAAAACATTCTCTTCCTTCTTTGTAGTCGTTTATCTTGAAATTTCCTAAATTCTAGTGGTAATTCAACAGCTTCAGCCAAATCATTTGCGCCTATTAGGACATCATTAAAACCACTCTCTCTATATTTTCTTAGCCATGATAATAGTTTTTCAAATGACTCCATGCCTTCATCAATGTCCTTTGTTTTACCTTGTAGTTCCTTGCTAACATAGTTAACTTTAAAAAGTAAATCATGCCAAAATATCAAAGAAACTAAAAATTTATAGTCTTTTAGCTGGTTTGCTAAACCTTCTGTCTCTGCTTTTACCTTGGGCTCATCTGTTATCTCTGATGTTTCCACAAGTGCATCATATACTTCTCCAACCTGATAACGAATAGCTTTAACACTATCAATCCGACACTCCCACCTTGTGTCGCTCAAGGGTTTCACTGATAACCCAGGTACATGTTTCTTAAAAACTGCCCACCTCTTTGTTGATGCTGAGAACATTATGTAGATCCTTTGCAAGATCCCAAAAAATGTTATAGCATCTGGACAGCACTTGGCTACATCTCCTAGTAACAGGTTATAATTGTGACATGCGCAGAGTACAAAGAAGGCTCTTGGATTATCCTGCAACAGCCGTGCTTGTACTCCCGATGTGTGACCTTTCATGTTGCTACCGTTGTCATAACCTTGGCCTCGAATGTCTTTCACATCCAATTTTAATTCCTCTAGTGTGTTTAATAATGTTTTATATAAATTTTCTCCTGTGCTACTTTCAACCTGCATAAACTGTATGAAATGTTCATAAACACCTGAAGGAGCCAAGTTGCCATCAGAAACATACCTGATCGTTAGAGACATTTGCTCCTGGTGGCTCAAGTCAGGTGTGCAGTCTAAAATTATGGCATAGTACTTAGCTGCTTTTACGCGATTCAGTATCTCATTCAAAACAGCTGTAGCCATAATGTCTAGTAGTTCATTCTGAGTATCTTTTCCTAAATAGTGATTATGAATTTCGTTGGCCTTGACTTTACGTAAATGTTCTTCAAGAACAGAGTCAAACTTTGCAAACAGCTCCACTAAACCTAAAAAGTTTCCATTGTGTACACTCTCATTACCAACTTTTTCTTCTGTCCCTCTTAACGCTAGATTTCTCTCAGCAAGAAACTGCACTATTGCCACTAGCCTTTTGAATACTTGCTGCCAGTACTTTGCATGTTTATTAATAGTTAGTTCACGTTCTTTGTCAATAGTCTGTCCACTATAATGTCTTTGGTATAACTCCCAGAATTGCCATGTGGCTTCCAAATGGTTTTTAGAATTTTCATGCTCATACAACCTTGTATGAAGATTAGACCAGTTGTTGAATCCACTTGCTGATAATGCACTGGTTTTGTTCATACTAAAAAGCTTACAATAAAAGCAATAAATTCTATCAGCAGACTGAGAATAAATAATCCAAGGTCTATCAACATACTCCCCATTTGGAAGTTTTCTCTTACAGTGAAACTTAGAAAAACACAATCCCTTTTCATTTCGTGGAAACTTGTTCACTGGAATATCAGGAGGCCCTTTCATTGTTAAATAATCTCTTATATTTCTATTTATATTCGATGGCCAACTTGCCGGGTCATCATTAATGTTAATTACAACTGTACTTGTGGATGATCCATCACTGTTTGATGTTTGGGCTTGGCCTTCTGACTCTTCTTTAGCTAAAAGTGGACTTCTCACTTTGGCACTGTCTTCTGTTGTATTAAGATCGTCTTCAGTTTGATTCAACTGTGTCTGTGTGTCAACTTGAACTTTTTCAAACTGAATATCAATTTCTTCATTGTATTCATCAACTGTAATTGGACTAATGGCTGTATTGTCATTTTCTGAATCGTTTTTGTCTTCTTCATCTTCAATACATGGGTGTTTCAAAGGTGGAGTGACAAGAAATTTTTTGATAGCACCTCGATGTTTTTCATTTTCAAGCACCTTTGCCAGTGCTCGCTTCTGGTTGCCATTTAAATACTTACGCCCTCTGCCTCTATCTCTGCTTGTGCTTGCCATGATGAAAGGGCTTTTTATATTATCTTTTCAGAAATGACATATAATAAACTGAAATGAAAAAACGAACAAAATTATTCACAATGAGAAGTCCCTGGCACTTAAAAAATAAGTATGTGCATATATGAATGCTATAATTAAAACAAAAAATCGAAACACTGATCCTATAAAATAAAAACCACACAATGTTTATCACCACTTCACCGGACAAAAAAAGCTTTAACCGGACATATAACACTTTGGCATGGATAGCACACCGCTACGTACGCAAAGATTCGGTTACCTACATAGAGCTATAGTATGTGCTTGCATGTGCTCAGAATCACAAGTCATTTTCTGATTCATCATCGCTATTGTCGCTATCAATCATGTACTCAGGATCAACAATTATCATCACTGTCCAGCACAAAAATTATAAACAAACCACGCCTCGGTCGCCACCCAGTGGCCATGCTTCTCATTTTCAAGGTCAACACTGCAAAACTCATCTCAAATCATGTCTATGGCAACGACCGGAGTTTTGTCACTGTCTGACGATGATCACTGATTCACTGGTTATTACAGGACATGCTGATATACACAGCACAACGTTATCACTCGTATTTCCCCCTGAAAACAGCCAAAAATACAGACCCGACACACTTACACCGTCCAAGCGTTGGGAGAGAGTGAAAACTGTGTTCTGATTGGCTCGCACCCTTCCCGCTCCTGTAAATTATTATGAAAGTCAGGGCGTGTGGACCAACACCAGAGTTAATTCCCTTGGACTTTTGACAAAACAGAAAATTCTCGCACGTGACTGGGATCTATTATTTTGATGACAATAACAATGATTTTGTGTCTAACGTTAGCTTTTTTACCAATATCGTATACAGTTTAAAACTAACACACGTGTGTGCGGGGCCCCCTTGCGGCGCGGGGCCCAATTTGATTAAATTGGTCAAATAGGCTTAAAACCGGCCCTGATTATAACTTACTACAGGGGCACACTTTGAACTCAGTTTTTGTCGATTATTTTTAGAATGTGACTTGAATGTAGCTGTAGTTTAACGGAGTGTTCAGGTGTTTGAGATGAGTAAAAAATGTTCTGGATTTACTGAGGTCACGATATGTAGTCTGTAGGCTGGTCGCTTCGGGGTGGTAAAAGTCTCAGGAAAGCTTTGATATTATCGGAAAACGAATCACGGAGAACAGGTAAATTTTGATATGTATCACTTAGTGTTTTATTTAATTTTAAAATCAAACTTTAACCATTAATGATTTGTGTCAGGTTGTTGGAGAGACGAGGGCACTGGGGCCACCAAGTACTTGTTGTTTATTCTCAGCCTCAATACCAAGCCCGTTAGATACAAGTAACGTAAACAAGATCCATGGACAGTCCCGTAGAGTAATCCATTAGGCACAGTTGTCTTAAGGGTCAAGGCTGTACTTGACCTAAACTAAGAGATAAACAAATGGAATTATTGGATCAAAAGCTCCACCATGTTTACATCTGAGTCAAATGAAAACTGAAATAATTATTATTTTTTACTTAAATTATTAACAATTATTATCTATCAATCAATTATCTTATTACTTATAATAACAAATAATTTATTAGATATTAACTACAACGCTTACTTGATCATAATAACAAAGGGACCAATTATATAAACGTATTTTTCAATTAAATTTTCTTATTTTTTAAAGTCAGTTTTTTCTGTTATGTTCTTAAGATGTCTGCGTATTTGTGACTGAATTTATTGACGATGAATTGAAACATATTCGTTCCATTGCACAGAAACTTGGGTATCCTTCTGTGTTTGTTGATCGTTGTTTTAAAAGGGCTAAATAATCCTTTCATTCCTCTCAAACCAGACAAATTCCTACACTTAAGAATATTCTGACTCTGCCCTATCGTAATGAATTTGTCCCGTTAGTTCGGTCCCTAAAGCTGCCAAATATTAATGTTGTTTTCATGTATGACTCAACCATTACCAATATGTTAATAAGAAATAGCAAGTGTAATAGCAAATGTAATTGTAATTATGTAGGACAGACAGGAAAAACACTGCAGCTCAGAATCAAACAACACCTTAGCAGTGCCCTGTTGGTTCATGTTAGGAGTAATAATCATCCCATTACTTGGGGGAAAAAGCTTAGAAGTATTCAAATCATCTTGTGTCACAGGAAGACTTCTGGTTGAAGCTAGTTTGATTAAGGAATTAAAATCAATAAACCTTAGTGATGGTCACTTCAAAACTGATAATATGTTACATAAATTTATCTCTACACCCTCCTACACATCCCTACACCCTCCTACACATCCCTATCCATCCTTACACACCTTCGGCACCCTCTTTACACCTTCCTACACATCTCTACACCCTCCTACACATCCCTATCCATCCTTACACACCTTCAGCACACCCTTTACACCCTCCTACACATCTCTACACCCTCCTACAGATTTAAAGAATTTTTAAAACTAGCTTTAAATGATTGTTTGTTTTTATTTAATAACAAAGCTTTAAACAATGTGATGGTGTTGCTATGGGTTCACCTTTAGGTCCCACGTTGGCCAACGCTTTCCTCTGTCACCACGAGAAGCTTTGGCTTCCCGAATGTCCCCCCAATTTAAGCCTTTGTTCTATCGTCGGTTTGTTGATGACACTTTTTTAATTTTCAGATCAATTGATCACGTCCCTATGTTCCTAAATTATTTAAATTCGAAACATGGCAACATCAAATTTACTTGTGAATTGGAAAAGGAAAATATTCTTCCATTCCTTGATGTTAATATCCACCGTCTTCATAACAGTTTCGAGACAGCCTTATACAGAAATCAACTTTCACTGGTTTGAGTTCAAAATTTTCATTTTTTATTCCTCTTCATTACAAAGATAATCTAGTACGTACTCTTACCAACAGAGCCTTCAATATCTGTTCAAGCTATTTCCACTTGGACATTGAACTAAAATACATAAAGTAACTACTCTTTAATAATGGCTTCCCTAAGAGATTTACAGACACTTACATTGGCAAAACCCAAATTAGGTTTTTTAGTCCCACACAGCCTCAAATACACACTGTCCCTAAATATTCTATCTCACCATCCCGTACACAGGCCCACT